CAGTCGGTGGAGCGACTACCTTCGGCTCAGGTCATGATCCCAGGGTCCTGGGATCGAGCCCCACATCGGGCTCCCTGCTCGGCAGGGAGTCCGCTTCTCCCTCTGACCCTCCCCCCTCTCGTGCTCTCTATCTCATTCTCTCTCTCAAATAAATAAATAAAATCTTTAAAAAAAGAAAAAGCATAGCAGAGGCAGGAGCATAGGTAAATCCACCGAAGTTCACAGGGCGGGGGCGAGGGTAAGGGGCTGTCGCTTCACCCTTTATGTGCATGAGTGAGCATGGATATCCGTGTATCGCTTGTGGAATTAAAAAGAACTTAAATCTTAATTTAATGATCATTACAAGGTGAACCAGTGACAGTGGTCAGCTAGGCCGCGCCAACGGAGACACCCTAAGCAGCCGCTGGCCCCGGAGTCTCTCCCCACACGTGCCCCTTGCTGGGGAGCCACAGGGCTCTGGTTTCCAGAAGAACACGGAAACGCAGAGAGGACCGACGGCTTTGGCACACGCCCTGGGCAACCCACGGGCCACAGAGCCCAGGAAGCCGTGTCCCACCTTGACCTCGGAGACAGTGCCGAGAACAGCAGGAAGGGACTACATGCGTGGTTCCCCCGCCACCAGGGCTAAGTGCCATGCAGACAGGGTCCCCACCGACGGCTTGAGACCAAGGAGCTCACAGCTCCTGCTGCAGCAGGTCTGCAACCTGTCTGAAGATTAATTTTCCCTGACACTCTGTTGCTCCCCAGTCAGCCTCAACTCACTGAAAATCGCGGTCAACAGAAGCTCAACGGTCTAAGCCTCCCTTCTGTCAATTCAGCTTCTAGAAGCCCAAACTGCCGTCACCGACATCTGAGCTGTCCGCATCCCGCTGGGTCACACAAAGACCTGTGTCCGGGTGCTTTCTCTGCCAGGAGGGCATACCATGCAGGATCGCGCAAGTCTAAGCCGTCTACACTGCCCAGACAGCAGCTCTGGTGAGGGGACTGGACAGGGGCCACAGAAAGATACAGAAACAAGTACACAGGTCAACAGAAGGCCAGGCTGGAGGGAACAGAAGCCCCTCTAGAAACGCTGGGGGGCCCACAGCGCGACCACCTTCCTGTCCGTCACCAGCCACGGGCCAGACCCGGGTAGCAGGTAGTGCCGAAGCCCTTTATCCCAAAATGCTAGCTGTCTTCCTGGGAGTGCTTTTCTCAAACACAGCTGTGCATTCTGGGGGGAAACTGAGGAAAGGAGTCAGCAGACAGGCCTGAGGGGTGTTCACAGAGGAAAACGCTGTCCAGCAGCACAAACCTGCCTGTGTCTAGCTGTGGGGTCAGACCTTCACCGGCAGAGGCGGCGGCCACTTGGCTCAGGCCTCGGACTGGAAGGGAGGGGTCAGTGATGTTACAGGATGGGGCGAACAGCCAGCACCAAAAGGCAGGAAAGAGGAAGGGGTCATCACCACTAAAGACAGAGTCACCATGATTTAAAGAAAAACTGGGAAAATAAATGTCCCACTGGGCCTTGAAAAGAAAGCATTAATCAATATTTAATGGTTCTTCAGACACTAAGAATTCATATGGCAAACCCATTTGAAAGGCCCTCATTCTACTTACTTGGGGGTAAAAAGTTATTCTCCCTAAGATTCAGAGCCCAGGAAATGGGGGAAATGAGCACGATCTGTGCAGAGATAAAGGGGCAGACAGCTCAGTGACGGGGTGGCTGTGGTCTCAGTGCTGAAGGAGCGCAGAGCACAGGTGGCCGAGGTGCTCCTGCGCACGGGACACCTGGGGGGCCCAGCACACATGGGGGCTGCCGCCGGGGGGGCTGGACTTGCACAAGAGCGAGCCCAGGCCCGCCCACAGTGTCCGCACCTGCAGCTGCACAAGCCCCACCACCACGGCCACCTGCTGCTCGAGCAGGCTGGGCAGTCAGGGCCAGCGAGGGACATGCGTCCCGAGCACACCTAGGGGTCCCAAGGTTCCACCGCCACCCATGTCAGCAGTCGCCAGAGTGTTGCTAAGTGAGCACCAGGATCCAACGTGCACTTCAGCACCCGGGAAGTTACGCTCTGGACCCATGCGAGTGACCGGGCTCTTTGGTGCAAGGGATGCAAGTTGGCACCATACCCAGATGTTCCCTAAGCAGAGAGGACATGGGAGAAATGCATGTTCCCGCTGCTGACAAGGGAGTGTCACTACAAAGGTGTCATGGTTCCGTCCATCCTGTCGCTGGCGGTACTCTAAAACCAAGATGCGCAAGGTGCCCTATCTCAGCTAACCAGGCCCCAGAGGACTGGGGAACGCTGTGACCAAAGCCCAATGCAGGGGTCACCTTCACGGGCTGGCCACGGCAGGGGCCTGTCCCCCATCAAGACCTCTGCTCTGAGCCACCGCTAACAGCCTCCAAGAGA